TAAGACATGTTCAAGATGCACTGTCTCTTCACTGCCAGGGCTCTTGCTCAAGATTTGGGTACCAAAACAATGGCCAGCACAGACTTCCACTGCAGTAATTATCAAATTTGATGCTCTTTTCAAACAGTGTGTTCTTTCAATCTCATTCTTGGCTTTAACAACTGTTCAGGTTAAATTACTTTCTAAGAGTTTTGTCTGTTGTTTTGCAAATAAATTTTGGCAATAGAATACCGTTTAATAGAACAGACATTTTTAATGCCAGTAGGTTTAGTCAATAAATGTTTAATTTTACTGCAGGTGGAGGAAGTCTAAGTCACCTCTAGGGAAAGACAAACAGGCGTTTTAAATAAATCTTCTTGGCATTTTAATCACCTTAAATCAAGTTCTGGGCTTATCCCAAAGCATTAGGATGTGACTGTTAAAATCCGAATGCCATCATGAATTTGTAAACCCTGAGCAACCCCCGATTTCCACTGTACTCGTAAAAAATCCCTGTTCAGAAGCACAAAAGGGGGATCTGTATCTGGATGTAAGCCATGGGATCAGGAGATGGTACCAAAGACTTTGATCTAAAGTTTCTGCTTCACATGGAAGCTCAGATTCTTTCTCAAGGATGTCAAAGCACATACATCTGTCATTGGTATTTTGTAGGACTGGAGGCAGCTAAAGCATGCTTCAACTATTTAGGCTCTCCACAAATCATGGTTTAATTTTCACACTGATAGTTAATGGTATGTTCCTATTCTCTCTGAGAGATCAGACATGGAAGTTGGACTCAGTACATGTCATGCTGAGGCTACACAGAGCAACAAAATAACACCTTTTGTCTTTCCCTCAACACTCTTTCTGCTGCTTCCAAAAGTTTTGTTGGCTTTTTTTGGCAGATGCACTGGGCTGATGATTTCAGGCAACAGCAACTTCAGGCCTCTTTCCTGGGCCATGATGGCCAGTTCCATCATCAGTATCAAAGAGCTTTGGCTTGGATTGTTTTCCTCTACATGCACTACCCTACATTTATCTATTCTAAAGCTCCTATGCCACCACTATGCCTTTTGTTCAATTTTGTGAGATCCTGCAGGACTTTGTCATTGGCATGGCATTTGGGTGCCCTAAGGGAGTTAGGAATACTTGTAGACCTGGAGATTTTGTGCACTCTCCTTTCTGCAGGTTGTGAATGAAGATGTTGAATAAAAACAGTCTAGCAAGCTACCTCATCTCCACCATCAAAGCCCTTTCATTTGTCTTCCAGCCCTTAATCTACTCTACGTTCAAAACTTAATTTTTTCTTCAAATACTTAGTTTCTTTATTGATCACCAAAAAGAAAATAAAATCCAAGGACTCTGAAGAACTGTTGAAATTAGCTTCTCACTTTTGTAGTCCTTGTATCTTTCTAGTACAGAACAGACATCCCAAAATTTACAGCTGCAGTTCTGATTGTAGAAGAGGTGATCCCAAAGATACACAACTGCCATGAGTTAACCTTGCAGTAATTTTTTTAAAGGTACCTCATTATCACAGAGACTTGATAAGTCAGCTTGACTAGGTTGGCTTTTGACAGCATCCCTTTGTTTTCATTCTAGAAAACCCAAAAGGACCAGTTGCCAGGGAGGAGAGTAGTGTCACAGGGTTTGCATCCATTTGCCAGGTAAAATATCAATAATTGTGGGACATGATGCCTAAGTGACAGGGCCATATCTGGGAAAGAAAGCAGAATGGCACCGTTGCAGCAGATCAGGGTAAGTTTAGATTTTCCTTCACTTAACAAGAACAAAACAGGACAGGACTCCTGTGAATTTAACAAAGGATTAAACACCCTGAGTGATACAATACAGCAACACTTCTGCTTTGAAATGGCAACAAAAAAGAGCTGCAATGCAGCTACAACTTCCATGCTGCTGTGATGGTGTCTGCCTTGTGTTGTGTGGGTGGGACAGGCCTCCCTGCCTGCAGGAGCCCCGTTGCAGACAGTTCTGCCTGTCCAGCAAATAACTGGTTTGGGTGCTGGACATTTGCTCTCCGGCACACATGTATGGTCCTGGCCAGCTCTGTTTCAATCTGCTGGGCTGGCAAGAGCTATGCACATGCAGCAGCCTGATGCAGGAAGTGGCTCTGTGGGCAGCAGGATCCATGTCTCTCACACAGACCTTGCAGAATGCACTGCTCTGGCAAAAGAGCAGTGTTTTTGGTGAGGTATGGAAGTGGTGAACCATGTGAAGGTACAGTGAAAAATTGAGCAGAGTTTGCTGTCAGCATACTTCTAGAGTACTGATATTTTGGCGAAGACCCAGCCCCACTCCTCTGTTTACCTAATGTCCTCCTGCACTTCCACTTAAACAGGAGCTTATTTCCTGTACTAAACTATCTTGCGGCTTGTGGTTAGTTATTAACCAAAAAAGGCCTTTATTTCAGCAGAAAGTGATTCTTCTGTAATCCTCACTCTGTTTGGGGCAGCTGTGCAATTTGCGCTTGACACATCCTCTCGTAGCACAAACACAGTCCTGGTATTTCCTAGGCATTGTCATCAGCCTGAAGGAGGTAAGATTGATCACAGCAGCAGTGGGGAAGAGTAATCCTGAATTAAGTATAATTTTGCCAAATGCATTTTGTTGGGGGAACTGGAGGAGATTCTTAAACAAGTGCCCCTCCTTTAGAAGCTGTTCACAGCCTCTTTTGCTTTCTCTTGGAGTGCAGTCACACAGCCTGGCAATAAGAAGTTTCCTTGGGAATCTTGCTGGTAAATTCAGTTTTCAATGCAATCTCTTACAGAATCACACTGTAGAGAAAGGAATTATTTGCCATTGCTGCTATTTTCTCTGTTTCACTTGTTTCATTTTAGGAGTAATTCCCAGAAAGATTAGTGAACTCCATGTGCTGAAGTGTGAGGGTGGAGTGAGTGAGTGGAGGATAGTCTTACGTCACTTGATTTCTGTATGCATGAATCTGACTAAAGCAAATGTCAGGGAAAAGGAAAGAGTCAGTGTTTGCTTATTTCAATTACTCATAGTTTTGTATTTCTTTTAATGCCCTCCAGGCACACTTCTGTTAGCTGCAAGAATATCTAGCAGCTCTGTTGAGGACTAGGTGCTTGAATAATCTTTAAATTTAAAGGTGTTTTTGCCTTTTAATCCCATTCTTTCTTCAGTTGAGATTTTGAGTTCAGGCAGATTGCAGTAGATGGGCACTTAGACAATTTTGAAATGCCATCTCTGTGTTTAGACCCGGATTAGCTGAAGTGCCTCACTTTGCAGAGGGAAATACCTTTCTGCAAGGCTCAGGTTGACGTATAAACCTTTCAGCAGCTACTGCTATCAAGACTGGGAGCCTTCTTTCTGTGAAACACACACACTTGTGCATTTTTTCACTGTACACCTCGCTAATTCTTGTGCAAGAGTTGGCCAATCTGTGGTATTTCTCTCCTGTGCCAGCACGCCCCTGGGAAAATTCATCATTGGGTATCTGAATACAAGAGCTTACTTTTGCACTCATCTGGCTCCTAATCTTTAGGGCTGTATGGTAATGACTGATGAAAAGGGGATATTCAGGAGGGAGAAATGTTTTCTGCCCAGCCCTGTTACTTCAGGAAGGATCTTGCTGAGTTGTAACCCCTGTCTGCACTATCTTATCCAATTAAGTGTGTAAAACGAACTGGTTCATGAACAATGAACTAAGAAACTCAGTTTCAACAGGTTTACATTTTGCTCTCTTCTCTCACTCTTCAGGTTTTAATCTTCCCTGTGACCTTCCTGATCCTTTGATACTCTAATTTCCCCAGTAAATCCCTTAAATTGCCATAACTTCTCCCAGCCACCTGCCACATCTCCCAGCTATGGGATGGGGAAGAGGTGGTAAATAGCCAAGCTTATCATATCGAGGTTTCTCTGATGTCAATGCCAATTCTTGAATATGCATCAGGCCATATCATAAAACCTGGGAAAACAACCTATATCTGCTAAAATTAATTTTCCTGTCTCTGGCCTTTTTTCCCTGTTTCTGTATCCTAATAATGCTGAACAGAACTTGATACTGGCAGATACCACAGCAGAAATGCAGATTTAATACAGAGACCTGCTCATTTTGTAAGAGATAGAAACAGGAAAAAGAAAAGGCAGTAATTCCAGACTGCTAAATAGAGCTGATTTGAGCCCGAGGGAAGTTTTATTGAAGTCTCCTAGCCAAACTTTGGGGTCCTGAGAGTGAGTGCAGGGCCATGCATACCTTCCTCTGTCCATGAGGAGGTAAAATTCAATTTAGAAAACAATCTATTATCCAGTTTAATCTGGTGTTGGGCCAGGTGCACTCATCTATAATGCCAGACCAGCACATACTGAGGAAAGGTTATGGTTTAGGCTGCTTTAAGGGCTCCTTGTCAACTGTCAAGGTTTATGCTGTTTGCACACCTCGGCTGGATCTGCCTTGCAGTCACTCCGACCTACTGGAGAAGAAATGGAACAAACCTCGGCGTGACGGTAGCTTTACTCAAAAGCGAAGAGGATTCGGGGGTATTTCAGGTTACCGAGAACCAGCGGAGGGGAACGCCCCCTGCCCGCCACCGCGCGGTTCTGCCGCGGGGGAGCAGAGCGGGGCTGGGGGAGCCCGCGGCTCGGGGTCCGCGGCCGCTCTGCGGTCGGGGCCGGTCCGGCGGTTGCACCGAGCGCTGCTCCCTCCTGCAGCCTCCGCTGAAGCGGCGCTGCCCGCCCAGGCCTTCTCCGGGGCCGCGCCCCACGCGGCGCCACCAGGGCCACCGTCAGCGTCAGCACAGCGGCGGTCCCGCCGCGGGCCGGGCCGGGCGGGCGGCGGAGGCGGAGCCACGCCCGGGGCGGGGCGGGGCGGTGGCGGTCGCTGCCCCAGCGCGGGGTGGGCGGACGGCGCGGTGCGGGGTGATGGAGTCGCGGGCCCTCGCCGCCTGCGCCCAGCTGCTTCGCAGGGCCCGCTGAGGCCCGGCCGCAGCCGCCGCCGCCGCCGCCACAGCGCGGCCACCCCCCGCCCGCCGCCGGCAGTCCCCCACCGCCGGGACATGGCCACGGAGCCTCCGCGGCCGGCGGGGCGCCCCGAGGGCGGGCGCGGGTGCTGCGCGGGCGGCGGGCGCGGCGAGACGGAGGAGGCCGAGGCCGCGGCCCAGCCGGTGCTCGGCGCCTCTCCGGGCCCCGCGGCGGCGGGGGGCGGCCGGCGGCGGGCGCTGAACGGATGCGTGCCGCTGTCGCACCAGGTGGCCGGGCACATGTACGGCAAGGATAAAGGCGGTGAGCGGCGACGGGCGCGGGGAGGGGGCGGCGGGCCCGGCCGGGTCACCTGCGAGGGAGTCCTTCCCACCCCCACCCTTCCCTCCGTTTATCTGAATTCGCCCAGACCGGCTGTGGCGGGCGGGTTCGGCTTCGAGTTCCCTCACGCCCGGCGGCGAAGGGGCAGCTCGGTGGCTGGCGGGGCAAGGGTCGGTGCAGGCGGGAGCGGCCCGGGGGCGAGCTCAGGGCTCGCCGCTGCCGTAGCCGAGCTGCCGCCGCCGGGCTCCGGCCGCACCTGCCCGCCGGAGGTGCCGCAGCAGCGCGGGAGGTGCTGGGCCTGGGGCAGCGCCCGGGGACCGGAGCCTCCCCGGCACGGCCGGACGGGGGCCCCGCTCGATCCCCCCGCTGCGCACAGGCCGTGAATGGAGCGTGTAACCGCTGCTAAATTTCATTCTTCTGGTGCTTTTCCTAAATGGCCTTAGTCTGTCAGGACGTGATAGTTATCAGGCGCCCTTAAACCGAAGGACTTCTGCCGTTCAGCTTCATTTTGTCAGGCACCTTTTAAAGACTGGGAATTCAGATACCAGCATGCTAGTTCTCTCAGATGTCAGAAACGTGGCTTATCTAACCACCTGAACCTCTGGCCACCAGAAACTTCAGCAAATTATCACTAAGCTATTGTTATTTGCTTGTTTATGTGATGATAAATCTGAACCAATGGCTAGGAAACGATCTAATAATACTAAGACATGAGGAGACAGTATGCCTCCACTAGCTCTAAATTTCTATTTTAGCTCCGTGTTGAGGAGTAAGGTGTTGGCCCTTCTGATGAAGGGGTGTTTTAGCATAGGCAGCGGTCAGTACCAAAGCAAGCAGCCAAGTTAATGTTGCCAAATGGCATTTTTCGCCTTTCTAGGACATTGCATTTGGGGTAACTCCTGCCTCCCAGCCAGATGGAAGGTATGCATCCATTCAACTTGCAGCGTACTCTCTGAGAGTAGCTACAATGAATACCTGCTGGCATATTGCCTTTGAACCCTGGCAGTAGGAGCTGCCCCTGCTGAATAGGCCAAGGGCTGAATTACAGAACCCTGTCAGCTATCAGTGAATGAAATTGCAGTGCTAATGGCACTGTGAGTTTGTCTTATCTACAGCCTGCATCCACGGTGTGCCTTGCTGCAGATAATCTCAACAAAAAGTCATTTTTCTCTTTGCCCATGCCAAAGGCTGAACTTCAGAACCTTTTCGATCATCAGTGACTGGAATTACAGCATTAAAGGCTCTGTGAGTTTGTCTTATCTGCAGGTTGTTTCCATGGCATGTCTTGCTGCTGATAATCTCCACAGAAATTCTTGTTCCTTGCCCCAGTTGCAGACAGTGCAGTAAAATGGAGGTGCAATGGGTCCTTGAAGGTGTATGTGTTCCATGTTCATACATCATAGCATGAGGTGGGATCAGGCACAAAAAGGCTCACTTCGGAGAGAGCTTTACCTTTGGCACATTGGTCTTACTGCAGTTAGATCAAACAGCACAGGTGATCATCTGTATTTTGGGTGCTACTCCAGTGGTTAGGTAAAGCTAGCTCCAGTACATCTCATGGGCAAGACCAAGCCTTTTCTGTAGAGGTACCACCATGGTTGATGATCTCATCTTGGAAACTGTTTTGTGTTGAAGTGAAGACCAAAGCTGCTCTGGTACTCACAGCTCTCATTTTTGTAACTCAATTTTCCCTTCTGTTCCCACATACAAACAGACAGAGGACTTGAAGGTATCCAAAGTATCTTTAACTTTTACTTTTTCTAGTAAAAGTACAGTGTAAAATTTCTCAGAATAACCTTCCTTTTCCCCTTTGTTCCCTGTGGCTGCCTTGCAAAGAAAGGCCTCTCACAGCCTCTCTGCTGCATGTGTAGACATTAGGCTGCTGTGCATTGTGACTGCCCTCTTGTTGAATGCTGTGTGCAGTAGTGCCTCCCCAGATAAATTGTGTGTAGTAAGTAAAGTAATGACTTTGGGTTGTGGCTTAATTCCCTAGGCGGGTAGAGAGAGACAGCACCTGGTGGTACGTGTCACCTTACAGAGCCTCCTGCACCTGCCTGTGGTTTGGTGCCTGTACCTGCAAAATGCTGGGGTCTCCAAGCCAGCAGTGGGATTCTGTAGCTACAGGGGCTGGTCTCCTTCAGAGTGACTTGCTTGCTCATTTCAGAATGGTAGCAAGCTTTGCATCCACAGCTAGGGAGAAACGTTTGTGAGATATTTCAGGGTTTTATTTTCAACATAGCTCTGTTGATTCCTCAGAAATGTTAATTTGCTTTTTCATATGTTAAAATTGTCCTATTCCCTGTCTGTGATGAAAAATCCCAGGAAGCCGCCAACAAACCCATGACCAACATCCATATGTTAGTATGATCTCCTGGTAGTAGTGATCTCTACTTGTAGATGGGAGGGAAGATTATGGAGTTTACATCTTTGTGGTGAATGTTGAAACATGGTTCTGGTTTTCAGGCCTGCCCCAGTCACAGTGGCAGAGTAGTGCAATAAGTGCTCTAGTCTGTCAAGAATGCAGAGAATGAGGGAACTTGAGATGTCAGTTTATATTCAACTCTTCAAGTAATATGTATCAACCCAATAGTCTGTGGATTCTGCTTCCAGGAATCTTTGCCTGGTCTTTCTACCTTATAGATTGTCTGCTTAGCAAAGCCAACATGCAGATTTTTGAGGAGTGTGTGTTATAAAACCTATTTTAATGTTTAACCTATTTTATTTTAATGTGATTGTTAACAATTCACATATAGGATATGTGCCATTGAAGTACTTGGTGCACTTTGCATAGTAGTTTCCAGCACATGCAAAAGGGTACAGGGAGGGGGAACACAAGCTGCTGTGTCTTGAAGATGTTGTGGTAGCCTGCACATGTGTGGCAATATTTTTCCAGTTTTGGAAAGCGCATAAAATCCACCTTTAGGCAAGAAACATGACTTGAGATCCGTTTTACGCAAATTTTAAAAGCTATTCTTTGGCATAGCAAACTATTGAAACAACTATTCTAAGTCTGGTGGTCGTTTTGAAGTAAATATCTTGGTCTCTAAAAATTTTGTGTAGTTTCCAAGATTGCACAACAGAGCCCATTCACAGATAACGGTTTTTAAGAGGTGAAAAACACAATTGCTTTTGTAACTGCAAGCTCTCTTTGGGATGCAAAGCATGTGGCTCATTTTTCTGTTTTCTCACATGGTAGTTGAAAATAGAACCTATTTTGGATACAGTTAACATTTTTGCTACCCTTCTAAGGAAAACAAATTACTGTCTGAAAAGCTAGAAATGAATCCTAGGATAAAAATTCTTTTTCAGAAGTGGGATTTTGGTTTTCTGTTGCACCTAATGGTGCAACACAGTGCACATTTCAGAGGAATGCAGTTGATTTTGCTGAGTTCTTGCTTACATCCATGTCTTGAGCATCTTTGGATACTCAGTTGCATTTCTTCTGCAGGTATTCAGAAATACTGGTGGCTGGCGAGTCTTAAGGCTGTTTCATGAGGGTATTTTGGAGGGGTTTTTTGTGCAGGCTTGATGAAGGTGTTGCCTGGCTGAGATGAAATTCTGTACTGTAACTATGGGTGATACAAATAGTAGCATCTGATAGCTTGGAGTGCTGTAGGGATGCTACTTCTTGTAGTAAAGACATACTCTCTATCTGTGCCACCAGTATAGATGTACATCCACGGGACATTTATTTCTGTTCTAGTAGTGAGGAAATGCTTTAAATGTGGTACTCCTTTAAAGTCTTGGCATTTATGAATTATTTAACAAGGGAGTGTCTGTATAATCTCTTTTAGTTAATGATGGGGTTTTTGGGGGTAGAAGTTTTAATGTCAAATCCCAGTACTGTGCTGGCCTTGGGCAGAGCTACACCCAGGAAATTATTCAATGGGTAGAAATAAGAGGAATGAAAGCAAACCTCTGCTAAGGGTTATATGTAGGAGCTGACAATTCTGTCTCTACTGTGTGTGCAGCAGAAACAGTACAGCTTTTCAATAGGCTGTCCTTGATGGTTAAGTCACTATTTCTGGGGGAAAAAAAAAAGGCAAAAAGAAAGCTGTACCTTTTAAAACTAAGCCCTGAAGGAAATGCTTCTCTTCTAGGCATACTGCAGCATCCAGATGGAACTGTACTGAAGCAGTTGCAGCCACCACCTCGTGGTCCCAGGGAGCAAGAGTTCTACAACAAGGTGAGCGCCCCACAGTGTGGAGGAGGCTGGCTTGCTCCAGCTGAAATGAGGGATGTGCTTCCTGTAGAAGTACATCCTTATCACTGCAGTTGGTAAAGTGCAACCTAAATACCCTGCCATGGTATCTGTGTGCTCTCTAGAACTTTCTGCTCCTTGCATGTCAATACTCCTGCCAGACCTACTTCACTCACAGGATTTAAGATTGCTTATTTCTTCATAGGACAGCAGACTTTCAAAGCATCTAAGATTTTATTGAAAAGCCTTACCTCCTGTCTGTGTTTAAAGGGTTGTATGTTTGGTCCCAACTTTCTCACATAACCAAGTCTCTCAAAAGTGCTTATGTCTAAATTTAGCATGTTTTATGCTTCTTCCTGGCCTGGTTTATTGCTAGAAGTAACTCTCTTCACTGCATTAAAACTCAACTCCTTTAAAAAGTCAATAAATATCAAACCTCTCAATTGTTTTAACTTCAATTGTTGTATTTTTCCTATTGCATATCTTCAGTTTGCTTTATCAGTAACTTTAACAAATGCACACCAGGAGAGCTGTTGCTTTCCTGTGAAGAGTTTCTAGAGCCTGCTCTGTCCTGTGATAGTCTGTTGTGGTTTTTGTGTGTCAGATTGATATGCCATGCCTTTCCATGGCTTATTAGGTATAAAGAGCTATCAATATCTTCATGCTTGGTGTAAGAGGAGTCTTGAGACCCTCTGCTTGTTGTGGTGTTTGGCTTGGATTTTGGTTGGTAGGTTTCTTTTTCCCTAAAAGTATATTTAAGTTAGCAAAAGACCTTGCAGATTTCATGAAAATGTCTCACATAAACAAAGCAAGGTGTTTTAAGTAAACAGTGTGTTTGCATACTAGCATTATTTGATAATTCTCATGATAGGACAGAACAGTAGGTGAGTTACTAGGTGCCAGTTAAATGTAAATATTTTTCTGAGTTTCTGTGTGACTCTCATTGAGATGAGGTTAAGAAATATGCCATCCAGCCTGACTGGTAACTTAAGGAGAAGGAAGAAGCTTGAACAGACTCCTTTGGGCACCAGGCTACTTACTGTGCTGTGAAATCCTCAGGTAAAGACAGTAACATGCTGTCCCTGCCTAAAGCCAGCAGGTAAGAGGGGAGGTTCAGTCATTGCTTGCACATGAACTCTTCACATCAGAGACTTTATAATTTTGCCTGTTTAAGCTTAGACTCATGTGACAAGCTATGAGCAAGACCCTGGGCCAAGTCTTTGAGAAGGGAGTGTCTGTGTCAGTGTGCTTGTTCCTGTGCTGTGAAGAAGTCAGGTCTCAATGCTAGTAACTTGCAAAATAAGCTTCTATTCTGTCTCCTAAGGCCTTGCAGCTTGCTTCCAGCACTGAATTTTTTTGGTTAAAAGCCATCTTGGGAAGGGGTTGGGCAATTATTGAAAATTAAGAGAGAAAGGGAAAGATGTAGACATAATTAGCTGTGTGTGGACTAGAAGGCCTTTTAGTGGGAGAAGGGAAGGAGAGCACATACATGTGTGTTGTGGTGGTGGTGAAAGTACAGGAGAAAGGTCCTGGGGATTTGTTGCTCTTCCATGATTAACTGCTATCATGTTTACTCTCAGGCAAGAGCTGTGTGATGTGGGCTATAGACATCTAAGCACTACATATTATCATTATAGGATGATAATTGCTCTGGGTTGGGAGGTTCAGGATAGGGTACAGTTTCACATGCAGCTTCAGCTGATCCAAATGCTCATTGTTGCCAAAAGGGAAATAAATGCCTTTCTTCCCATTCCTGCTATTTACTTTGCACCATGATGGTGCTCTTTGGACATTTATGAACTAATTTGACCTATTTAAAAGATAGTAAAACTTCCTTGTCTTGGTAGTCTTCTGTCAGTTTAGGTGACTAAGCTGACAAGCAATGGGAACAACAGCAAGGGTGCCCTGCTTTGGTGACTGAGTTTAGCCAGTCTTGTGGGCTGTAATCAAAGAGACATTATCACCCTGGAGAAGGCTGATGAGCCTCCAGAGATCAAGGGAAGGATAATTTTACTGCTCCTTGAGACAAGGAGTTGTTTGAAAGGTGACCATGTACAGCAGATGGTGAGAAACAGTGTAGAAATGAAACAAGTGAAGTAAGCCTGATGAGTCCCAAGCTCTCACTTTGTCAGGGCAAAACAGCAGGTTGGTTGGTAAGATCAAAGCAGGTGGTTGTTCAAGAGTATATGTGGATTTATTGTGACCTTTTTTTCCTTAAAATTTCTGCTCCTGTTTTTTCACATGTGCTTAGAACTGTTTTGTCTGTAGGTAGGTGAGTTATTGCTCCCTCTGCATCTGACCTTATGCTAGCATGCATGAACATTAGTGTCCCAGTACCTGGGTCAGAAAGAAGGGGGGTTATCTTTCCTTCTGGAACAGCACACCTCCTCATGTGGAGTAACAGAGAAGCTCTGTAGTGTATGGTAGCAAGAAGAGGAGCATGTCTCAGTTTCAGCTGCATGAGTCAGCTGGAGAGCAGCTATGGCAGATCTGAAGCAGAAGTGTCTTCCAAGAAGCAGGAAGTGGTATTTCAGTGTACAGTCCTAGTACTTGTCAGCTGAAGGCTGTAGGGATTGTGTTGTGATAGATGATAATGAGGCATTAAGGGACGAGTTTGACTAGGAACACTGATATATTTAATGTGATACCAGGTAAATATTCTGTTTGAGCCAAGGAAGTCTTCTCTTCTGAAACTGTTGGATTTGCTTGCAGCTTGATGTGTGAACATGACAGAGGTAGAAGTCTGTCAGGGAATCAGATGCTTTTTCCCTTGTCATTTGTGTTTTTTTTCTGTTGAGCATGATGCTAAGTACTTACCAGTAGAGCCCAGGCAAAATGGGGTTCCATTTTGGAATGGAAACTTGAACAAGATGTGTACTGCAAAATACTAGTAAGTGATCCAAAACTTGCTCAGAAGTATTTGGCAGCTGAAGTTTGGAAGAATTTCACAGGTCTCTGTCAAATCTGGAAAACTGCTGAAGTAATTCCTAATCAGGCACCGTCAAGTTACCTTTCTGTTTTCTTCATACTCTTTTCCCTTTAGCAGTTACAAAAAAAGACCTCTGTTTTTTTTTATAAGAGATTATTTCACCAATTAAACTTTTATCTACTAGAGCATTATGTCTCATTCTCTACTGCTAGGGAAGGGGCTTGTCCTGTGTTATGAGGGAGGGGAAAAACAGCATGATAAGATTATCATGAGTACCTTATATGATAAAGCATAGTAAAACAATGAGCTGTTTGTTAATAGCTTAACTGGTTTGTTAATAGCTTACCGTGCAGTGCTTAACTTCTCATTGGAGTGTGACTTTCTAGCTGTCATGTCCACTTGCTATTGAGTTCTGTAAATCTGAGTAATTATCTAATCAAAATAATAACATTTTAATTTTGTTTCTGCAAACTCCCTTTCTGTACCTGAGGGCATGAACTCCTTAAAAACATTGCCTACACACGCATGGAGTGTTTTACTTGGTATTCTGGTACCCTTATCTGTGTGAGAAAAATACCAGGTTTTTTAACCTTGAATAGCTACAAAATACTTTGTTTTCAATAGGTATGAGCAACAAGGGAATGAAACTCGTTGAGGCGTAAGGGTGATGTTTATTTAAGGGCTATCTACACCGCTGATCAGTTGTTTCTGTGTAATGGCAGTGCTCTGTGAGGACTACTTTTGGGATGGAGCAATATACAGTGATGTGGGAACAGGGAAATAGTGTTGTTTGAAAATGTAGTCTTTTCAGTTGGAGAGACTAAGTTAGTAAAAGGCAGTGTGAATTTATGGTAGGCTGCCTACGCGAGCGTGCTAGGAAATCCACAGAAGTGGCCTGCTCCTCAGTGTGTTTTGGGATTTGGCTTCAGCCTGGTTTATCCATGCTGAACTGCTCTCATTTAGTTCAGCAGTGCTGACAGAAAGAGGAAACCTATCAGCACTCCAATGGTGATGTGTTGCACCAGGTGAGTTGACAAATGTGAGAATAGTGTCCTTTGAAAAAGCTAGTGCAGCCCCTGTGTGAGGTAACCCACTGCTCAGCTGGGTGTGGAGCTCCTGTCTCAGCCACACCAGGCTGTGCTTCAGGGCACTCTGTGCTAGTGTAGCTCTGCCTTTGCATTTCAGAGCTCTCCAGCACAGAGTTTTCCTTAGTTTGTGACTGTGTTTTCCTACAAGCTCTGTGTTAAGCATGAAGAGATTGAGTGCTTCTTAATGTTCAGTAGAACAAGAGAAGGTTGCTGAGCTGTTTGGAAATGGCTATGCTTTCACTTCTGATCTTGGCTTTCACTCAGTGCTGTTGTAAACCTCTTACTATGTGTAACTTTTCTGAGCATGGCCTACTGAAGTTTAAAGTTTGCTAGTGGAGCAGCTATTAAACTGGGATTTTATTCTTAACAGATCAATAAATGCTCCTGTAAACTTTTATTTGAGTTGCCCTTCAGTTTGCCTGTGGTGACTGTATGACACTTGGGGGATGTGTAGTACACTTTACCTCCTCCTGCTGCAAACTGTCCTGGGAAAGCTCCTGCAGCATAGGCAGCTTCCCGTGGATGCCTTTTTCTTTTTCCCTGTTGGCTCTACATCAGAATTGTTGTAGCTGGTTCTAGTGGTGTTGCCATGTCATGGCTCCAAATACATAACTGCAATGATACAAGCTTTCCAAGGCTATTGTAATGTAAGTTGTACCCAGATTCTCAGGTAGTTCTGTCCCAGGTGCAAGGGTGATTTTGGGAAGTTGGATTGAAAAGGTGGACAGGGTTCTCCCCATCCCAGCTCAGCTCTGGTAACCTCCTACCTCTGGCCAATGCTTGTGAACCAAGGGAGGTGATTAACTACACACAGCATTGTGAAAAGATAATTCAGCTAATTACTTGGCTCTTCTGGTTAGTGAATCTTCCACCCGTGCCCAGTTAGTGATGGCTCTGTTAACTGCTGCAGCAGTTCAGGGTTTGAGTCCTGCTGACATCGAATCTGAATGCAAGGAAGTTGTTACCAG